GCCAGCCTCTACTACAGCATCGAGCAGGCCCCTCGCCTGGGCCGCCTGCGCACGTCCCCTGGCGGCAGCGAGGCCAGAAACTTCAGCCAGGCCCAGGTGAGCCCCGTCACACACGGGGACGTCTCCACAGGGAGCCCCTGCATGCACAGAGAGCTGAGGTGAGACACGGGCACAAGGCTCCCCCGCGCTCAGCCCACGTTGTTGGGTTCTGCTCCCTGCCAGGTGGATAGCGGGATGATCATCTACGAGCACGAGATGCCGGCAAAGCCCTTCTGGCTTGCCCAGGATGCCATTCGCTTCCGCGTCGTCACTCCCACAACCATCTCTGACTCCTTCATTCTCCTCGTGCTCGTATCGTTCGAGACGAGGTGCCCCCAGCGCTCCACTCAGCTCTGGAGAAACGCAGGTGAGGAAATGAAAGGCTCACTCAGGTTTGTAGCATGCTGGGCACATAAAGGCTGGGGTGGAGAAGAGCAAGGGACAAACAAGTTCTTCCAAGGTTATCGCCTCAAGGAGGTAACTTGGAGCTCGTTTGTCCAAGGAAGAGGACCATCCAACTTCCCTGGGCCCCTCCAAGCACAAGCTCCAACGTCATGTCAAGTAATGCCTAACAAACTGCTTTAATCCCTGTCCTGGGTCTCCCTGCACAACTCCTTCCCCCATGGCCCTAACTAATAAATTGTTTCCCATTTCTCCTCTCTTTTCCCCTTCATTTCTTTATAATTGTTCTCTCTCCTCTCCCCTCTATCACACTCTTCTGGCTCTGCTCCTCTCTGTCCTCCAGCAAATTCCCTTGACTGGGTCTTCCCCATGCTCACAGGACTCTGGATTTTCCCTTTGTTTTTCCAGGCCTCCATGTTGGGAAGGCTCAAAGGGCAGAGATCAACACGTCTGTGCTGGATGCTTCCAACATCCTGAGTCAAGTGCCGGCTCCGGAGAGGGCCACGCACGACGTCATGTTCCTGGTCACGGCGCTGCCCAGGCACGGGCAGCTCTGGGTGGCCGGTGTGTCCGTGGACAGGGCACGTCCCTTCTTCCTGCAGTCGGACCTGGACGCAGGGCGCCTGGCGTACACCCATCATGGGGACAGTGCTCCTGGAGACCACTTCCAATTCAAGGCTTGGCTCCAGCCCCGCGCAGAGCAGTCCCTTCACCCTCCCCACGAAGGGGTGGTTGTTTTGGAAGCTTTCAACATAACGGTGACGAGCAGCAAGGAGAAGCCACCACAGGTAGTGAAGCGGCGAGAAGCACTGCGGGTCCCCGCGGGCTCCTGGGTGCCGCTGTCCCCGGAGTACCTGGATGTAGCCAACACAGATAGTTCCCTGGAGGAGTTGGAATACCGCCTCCTCCAGAACCCCCTCAGTGGCTACCTGGCCAGCACGCACGATCGCCAGGTGCCTATCGACCACTTCACGCAAGCAGATGTCAATGCAGGCCACGTGATGTTTGTGGCCACCGGGAGTCGTTCCTCCGAGTCTTTAGTCCTGAGCATCTCTGACGGCCACCACGCGCCCACCCGGACCTCCCTGGAAATCATGGTGCTGCCTGCGGTGACAAGCCCAGAACGCCTCGTGCCACTGGAAGTATCGCAGGGCCTGAACAAGGCCCCCGTGTCCCGGGATCACCTCCTGGGAGCTGCCCAGCTAGGGCAACAGGATGTCCTTTACAGGATCACCAAGGACCCAAAGTTTGGCCAAGTGCGAGTCAACCAAAGGCCGGTGCGGGCTTTCTCACAGAAGCAGGTGGACCAAGGGAAAGTGACTTTTACTTTCACCGACTTCTCCTCTCCTAAGGACGAATTCCACTTCCTTGCCACATCCCAGGCAGCAAACAGGACCGGGGTGGTGAACGTGACCGTCAAGGCCTGGGTCAAGGCACAGTCAGGGAGCCTGTGGCCCAGGGGCACCACAGCCCTGCTGGACACCGGCATCCTGGACGCCAGCGAACTGGCCAACCGCACCAAGGACATCCCGGTATTTAAAATCCGCAGGGCTCCCCGGAGCAGCCGTGTCGTGCGGGTCTCGAGACACCCAGGCCAACGCGGCACCCCGGTCACCACCTTCAGCCAGCTGGAGCTGGAGCAGGGGCTGGTGGGTTTGGAGGTGCTGGACCCCGCCGAGGCCGAGCAGCCCCTGCAGAACGACAGCTTCATCTTTGAACTTGCGGCCGCCGGGGGGGCGCCCGCGCGGGGGGCCCCGGGGGCGGGGCCGGCGAGCTGGGCGTCCCCTCCACCAGCTGGCCGGGCCAGGGCGCCACGAGCAGCCCCAGCCCCGTGGAGGGCGGCACGTTCCTCAGCTTCATCGAGGCCAACATGTTCAGCGTCATCATCCCCGTGTGCCTCATCTTCCTCCTGCTGGCGCTCATCTTGCCGCTGCTCTTCTACCTGCACAAGCGCAACAAGACGGGCAAGCACCACGTGCAGGGCACGCCGGCGGCCAAGGCGCGGAACGGCGCCGTGCCCGACCAGGAGACCTTCCGCAAGACGGACCCCAACCAAGGCATCCCCCTAACGACTGTGAACTCCGTGGAGGCCAAGGGAGCAGGTCCCCCGGGCACGGCGCCCGGCGCGCCGCAGGATCCCGAGCTCCTCCAGCACTGCCGGACTTCCAACCCCGCCTTGAACCACCACCAGCAGGGCCCGGTGCAGAGGCGAGCGGCCGCACCGACCCCAGCTGGGACCCCGCAGCCTCTCCACTCACCCCGAGCACCTCCATCCTCCTCCTGGTCCTTCTCCAAGGGACGCGGGAGGAGCTGGGGTTGCAGGGGCAGCTCGGGGCAGGGAAGGGGTCGCTGCAGAAGTGAGCAGGGCAGGGGGGATGTGGCACCACGGCAGCCCTAGAAAATGCTTTTTTGGGGCGCCTTTTGACCGCCCAAATGGCAGCTGGGAGGGCAGCGCTTGCTCCAGCACCCCACGGAAGCGCATGGGATGCTGGACGCAGCTCCGGCAGCACGCGCAAGGCTGGGGACGGGGCCGGCGCCGTCCCACACGCACGTTCGCGGCGGCTCCCGGTGCAAGAGGGAGGCCGAGGAGCAATTTGCACTGAGTCAGGCTTGGGATGGACGCTCCAAATTCCCCGGGGCGAGGTGGGCCGAGCCGCTGGCGGGAGGCTTGGAAAAAAACCGCGGCGGCCGATGCCAGGGGAATTTGCGGAGTCCCCACCCCTCCGGAAAAACCGACTCGCTCCTTCTCCGGGCGCCCACCGCCGAGCGGCGCAGGCCAAGCACAGGGAAGGGGGCCCAGCGCTGTTCCTCGCTGTATATTCCCACATGGCAGACGTAAACCAGAATAAAGTGCCTTTTCCAAGGATGTTGTCCGGCGGCAGCTCCCTCGTCTGTCCATGCTCAACAGCCCTCCCTCGTGCCCGCTGTGATGCGGAGCGTCGTTGCAGGGGGAATGGGCCAAGCTCTGGACTCTTGCTCAAGTTTTCCTCGGACTGACAGCGTAATAACTGAGCTAGGAATCACCCAGGGAAGAACAGGGGAAAAACTGAGCACTGAGCTCAGGAGGCGACCCAACAAAAACACGCTGCCTTGCTCCAGATGAGAATCTCATCAGGGCCCTCGTCCTGCCGTCACACAACCGGTGCAAAAAAGCAATTCCTTCACGTTTGCACCCCTCCGACCTCATGGAAAACTGGGGTCCCCTGTCCACGCGCAATCCCTCTTCCCGGCCTGGCAGCATCCCCGCTCCCGGCATCACGGGCCCCACTTTCCCCGCCTGCCGCTGCAGAGCCGGAATGTGGCCCACTTTACAGCCAGCCTGGAAGACGAGGCGGGTTATTTTTAAAGCAGGCGGGTAT